TATTCTTCCTGCTCAGCCTCAGCGGAGCAGTAGTCTTAGCCACCTTAGGCTACTTCTACTGAAAAAAAAAAAAAAAACAACCAATCAACTTCAAAAAACTCTTAGCGAGTAGTGAAAGTATAAAAAATTTAAATTAAATGCCCCCCATGCTTAAAAAAAAGAAACTATTATGAGTATTAATTGCCCTTAACGCTTTATGCTTACCTTTTGCTTTTTACCATAATACTTGAAATTACGGAGATAAATGAAATTTATCTCCCTTTCATTCTCTTTGAGAATTTTTTACAGTTTGGTGGTGCGTTTGAAATTCGATTTTACTTTTTTTCTGATTTTTTCGCGAAATTAAAATTAATTCTTCCCCCACTCAACCAACTGAAAAAAATGGAAAATTAGGTTTATTAACCGCCGTGGTTAGTTTGACCTCTATTGTTGGATTTACTTTAAATATAGTGGGGAAAGTTCGGAATGCCAAATCTCTTCAAGAATTTATGACGGGAAGTTGGATATGGTGATGAGTTTATTCTTTTGCTTGGCATTATCTAGTTTTCCCCCTCGCTTTGTTTTACTTTCTTAAATATTCCGCCCCTGTAAATTTAACCAAAAAAAAACTGTTTTATTTGGTGACTCCTTTCCCGGTGGTTTTTTTGTTAGTTAATTTGGTTCGTAATTTTTTAGCGGACCAAAAATATTTTGGTAAAAAACCTTTTTTAGGAAATATCGTTTGGTGATTTAGCCATTTGGAAAAGGGAAGTTATGGTTTTTTTTTAGCCTGAGTTGCCTTTTGCATTTTTTATTTTTGAATGCTTGCCTATTGGCTGTTGCGGTTTAAAAAATGGATTAATTATTCCCCTAGTCTTTCCTCGCAGTTTAAAATTATGCAGCAGAAAATGAAAATTAACAAAGGGAAATTTTTTGTGGAAGTATTGAAAAAAAATCAGAAAAGATAACCATTTTTTATTTTAATTTAACCAATAATTTCACCCAAAAAAACCAAAAAAAAGATTATTAGGATAAAACGGAAAATATGAATAACCGTGAACAAGATAAAATATGGTGAGAAAAACAAAAAAATGAGGGTTGAAAAGTTTTAACTGCTCCATTAAGTCAGGATTCGGCTATCCATTCGCGTTTCAACAACTTTATCAAAAAATTTTACTGACAATTTCGCCAAAAAAAAGGAATACCGCGAGGGAGTTATAGTCCGGAAATCAATTTTCAAGGATTTAAAGAATTCATTATTAGTGAAAAAAAACTCGGATATTGTTCATGAGAACGAACAACACAAACAGAGAGAGACGCAGGAGGAGAGAGAAAAATTTACTATACTACTATAAGTATTTTTATCAATCAACTATATTTACTGAATAAGTTAGGTATGGAAAGACTTATTGTCAGCAACCCCGATGTTTCTCCCGGAGGAACTTATGAATATAAAGAAATCCACTTTGATGAATTAATTAAAACTATCGCCCACGAATTAGCCCATGCTTATCAATTTACAATTAATTCAAAAATAGAGGGAGAAAAAAGTAGTTGTGAAAGCAGTGGTAAAAAGGATGCTAACGGTATTTTTTTGTATCCCGCGTTAGTTGCCGAACACACCCAACTAACCGAAGAAATTAAACAAATAATTACTAGTTCACCCTACTACCAAGAATTTAAGGCTTGGTGAAATAACCAACAACCTACTCCTGAAATACCCGAAGAGGAAGAAGATAATAAAAAATGTAAAAATTGCGGCAGTGAAAACACTTTCGGGTTTGATTATTGCTTTGAATGCCGACAGGAGAAAAAAGAATTGGAGGATTTAATTGTTTGGTTAGAAAACAGCCAAAATCTAGCAAGTTTAGAAAAAAATTATCAAGAAATTAAAAAAAAATCTCTTTATGATGCTAATAAAAAAACTTTGGATAAAAATCAAAATAACAAAGAATTAATTGATAATTACTATGCTAAAAAAATGATAGATTTAAAATTCCCAAACTCCGACGCTTCCAATTTTAATTATGGTTTATGAATATTTATGGTGATACTAGCAATATTCTTCCTAACCGCCCTTTATTATTTTTGCCAAGCAAAAGCACCAAAAACTAAAAAAAGATAAAACTATTCTTTTCGTTCCGGAGGGTTTTGTTCGATTTTTTTCTTGGCAGAGATTAATAAGTCGAGAACTTTGTTAATATATTTATACTTTTCTCCTCCTAGATAAACTTTGCTGAAATTAATAGTTTGGTCAATTATCACTTTTTTCCAGTCACTATTTTTTTCCAACCATAGTTCATAAGCAGCATAAATTAATACTGCTCTCTCTAAGGGAGGCAAAGCGGAAAATTCTCAGCCAGTTTTTAATCTCTCAGTAATTTTTTCACTAAGCATTTTTTCCTTTTCTAAACAACTACTAAACCAAATTGCTCTCTCTTTTTTTTTTTCCTCTTTTTCGGGGGTCAGGGAAGGAGAACCGAGAAGTTGCGGATTTCCTAGTAAATAATACTGATAAAGAAGAAAAATTTTTCTTTTGTCAAGGCGGAACATTTATTATCTTATTTTACTAATAATTGAAAGATTCGGTTTCAATTATTAGGGGGAACCTCGGAGGGTTCTCCTTTGTTTTATTAACCTTTTTATTCTTTATCTATTGCTCTTTTTTATCACTTCTGGGAAAGGCTGCAAGGGCGAAAGGGAAAAGTTTATTTTTTCCTTTTTTTCCGCAATTTTACCAAAAGCAATCATCCCACAAAAAAACCAATAACTATCCCACACACTAAATTAAATACCCTTCAAAAATTTTCTTTGCGTTGCTCGTTATAAACAGCATTTTCCTTTTCTAAACATTTTTGACAAATAAAAGCATTCCCGTTATGAAATTCTTCGCATAAAGAACAGTAATAATTAAAAAAAGGTTTTCTTCATTCTTCGCTTTCTTTTTCGAATGGACAAACACAACCTTTTTTCTTTCGGTCTTCACAAAAACAGTCTATGCAAAGTGAATCTAAAAAAGTTTCCGACAACTTCCCACACTTTCCACATTCCATAAAACTATTACCCCGCCCCAGTCCATTATAAAAAAAATGAGTAATTCTGACTCTTCCTAATTTTCTTACTTTGCCACAGTCGGGGCAAGTTTTTCCCCGACATTTATCAAAAACAAGAATATAGGCAGGTCTTTGTCCCTGGCTACTGTCTTTACATTTGTAGCAACGAAATTCGACCACGACAATTCTTTTTAATAGTATCTCCTACTCCTATCTATATCTTCCTGAGTGCATGCAGTTATTATAGTATCGGATGATTCATAAGAAGAAGGATGCCAATATATTCTATACACTTCTTTACCTTCTTCATTTATTGTTGGTGAATCACCTAAAACAATTCGTTCCTCAGTACCTTTAATATTTTCTCATAAGTGCTTTTTTATATTTTCTTCCTCTTCCCAATTTCTTTTCTCTGAATTTTTAAATACTTTTATTTGTCCATTTTCTAACTTTCTTAACTTATCACGCAATCAATGCAAAATATATTCGAGTTCACCATCTGTTTCCAAAATCTTTGTGCAGTTTCCATCCACTTCAAAATAATTAAATGCACCAAGTTTATATTTTATTTTCATAACGTTTTTTAATTTTAATAATAATATTTTTTTTACTTTGTATTTTTGCTAACTTTTAAACAGAATTAGCAACTGTTTTTTAAGTTTGATAATATTTTTATGCTATTCGCTTATTCTCTCTATTTTTTTAGTGCCTTTAGAGGCACAGGAATATTTGATATTTGATAAATATTTTGTTTTTCATGGTGTTTCATATATTTCTTTTTGTTCTTTTTAATTGTATTATTTGGTTAGTTTATTTACCAGTTCTAACTAACTGAACCAATTACTTTTGCTTTAATATTCTAATGGTGGAATTGGTTAAGAAACCAGTTTAGAATATTACTTTGCCCTGTTTTGCTTCCGGTAAAGTTCATAATTAACCTTTTTGCTAGCCAAAAGAGTTTACTCTGAAAGTGTGAAGTTATTTTTTACTTTCTTTCTACCGCGAACAAAAGAAAGTGGGAAAAAGTTTTTTAAACTTCCTGGCACATTTGCCAAATAAGAACCCATTGTTTCAACTTTTTACTATTTTCTTTTTTATCATTATTATTTTATAGTAATTTTTTTCTGTCTTTGTTATATATTTAATAATAAAGCATTAGGTATATAGAAAGAACGGATTACTTTTTTGCTCGTTTTTATTACCCAATTCACAATCAACACTAAATTTAAATATGAAAATGAAAAAAATAACTTATGGAGCAAAAAAAAAAAAAAAAATGAATGGATAAAGAACTTGTAAAAAATATTCCTTTTTTCTTTAATGAGTTCAAGTCGGAAATTAATTTTATATGACTAAACAGAGAATAATTACTAATCCCGACCAGTGAATTATTACTCGCAAAGGAGATTTGGTGCGAATTAAAGATAGTTGAATATGGGTTGATAAAAAATTAGTAATAATTCGGCAAAAATTAAGTTCAAGTGGGCGTTTTAAGGGTAAAACCACCGAACAAATTAGTAAGGAAAGATATGACAAAGTTTTAGAAGAGGTTAATTTTGATTACGACAAATTTCATGAGTGGATTTACCAAGAGGAAAATAAAGATAAAGTTGAAATAGTTAAGTTAGAAGGGTCAGATTTTCAAGAAACAGTTGAGACCCTAATTAAGTTTATTAAAAGTAGAAAGCGAAAATGGAGAAGTTGAGAGGCGAGAAGACCGAATAGTGAAATTAAAGAGGGCGAAGGAACCCATGAAACAAAAGGTTTGATTAATGAAGAAACCGGACAAATTTTTTATTCTAGTCCTTTAATTAAAGAAAAATTAAAATTGTTGTCCTGGAATGGAGACAAACCGCTTATAGATTCTCCTACTCATATCGGACAGACTTGGGAAAAAGGAAAATATGTGAACTATAATTCGGTAGTTATTTTTCTCCATGGCACTGGTAAAAGCAGAGGAGTTTTTCCCGAAATTGAAAAAAAATTTCCTAATACCAAATTTATTTATCCTTATTCTCCCACCTTGCAATATGATATGTGGCATGGTTCTAATAAGGCTCCGGGCGGACAATGTGAAGGCTGAATAAATGTTACCGGTGATGTTTACCAATTAATGGATAAGGATGTTTGCCCGAATAACCCACCCCCTAAAAAAAACTTTGAGGAAGCCGAGGAAATAATTCATTTGGATTATCCTCAATTAAGGCGAGCCGCCAACCATGTTAACGATATTGTAGAGAGAGAAATTGCCGATGGTATTCCGCCGGAAAGGATTTTCGTCGCCGGTTATTCCCAAGGTGCTTTATTAACTTTGGCCGTGGCTCTAACTTCCCAGCACAAATTAGGTGGATTTATTCCTCTTTGTGGACTTTTGCCTTGCTGAGATAAATTGTTAGTCCGACCCTCCACTAAAAATAAAGAAACTCCTTTCCTTTTTATTAACAATATCGGAGACAGGTGAGTTCCTTTTTGAGCGGGTAAAAAATCTTATGACCTTTTGAAAGAACGGGGTTATAATGTTGAATTTAAAACTCATCCTGGTTTAGGACATATTTGGAAAAATGAAGAGGTGATTGAATTTTTAAAAAAAAATTTGACCGAACACTATCAAAAACCACCAAAACAAACTGATAATACTGGCGATAATAACCAAAAGAGGATACTAATTTCCATAGCAATAATTAGCGGAATAGTCGTTTTTATGACAATTATAATTATGTTAATTAAAAGAAAAAATTCAAAAAAGGGCAATTAAAAATGCTTAAAATATAATATATTATATCGCGGGGTAGCAGTAGTGGTTTAACTCGCCGGGCTCATAATCCGGAGATCGGAGGTTCGAATCCTTCCCCCGCCACCAATTTACAGTTTTTTTATTTTATAAAATTTGATATGTGCGTTGCTAAATTTTAAAAAAATCTCTTATTTCCTAAAATCTAATCTCTTTCTGAATAAGCACTATGAAAATTATTAAAGAGACTCGAATGACCGAACTTTCATTTAATAAGAAAACCAATAAACTTCTTTTTTTTATTAAGCAATTTACTTACACCCCCAAAATAGTTAGATATAAGACTAGAAATTATGTTAAATATCCAATTTATGATGGTTATTCAGAAAGAACAAAATTAATAAGAAAGTTTGATAAGGCAATTAATCCCATAAAGTTTGTAAATGAAGATATTTTGGAATTAGATTTGGAAAAACATTTTATCTTGTCTATTATTGAAAAGATTTCAGTAATTCCAGAATGAAGAAAAAAAGAATTAGAATTAAAAAGGATTTTAGGTGTAATAGATACCGCCAAACAAAGTATAAGAAATTATGACAGAGAAAAGAAGCAGTATTCATTTAAAAAAACAGACTTCAATGAAGAACTAAGCAACTTTTGACTTCGTTTAATTTTCGCTCCTTTTACTCTCGGTCTTTCATTTATCGGTTATAACAGTAAGAAGAATGCTCAATCAAATATAGAAACCAATAAGAATAATAAAGAATGAAATGAAAGTCATAAGCAAGAAATTGACCAAGGAAACTCTCTTATTTTAAAAGATATAACACTGTTTAATGAAAAATGTAATAAGACTATTGGTTTTAATTGAAATCTTTATCACAAAACCAAAGCAAAAGAAATACCATGGTGAGATGAAGAGATTCATGATGGTTGAAAGAATTTAAAACTTGCTTCCGACTCTTCCTTTCGGAATCTTAATGATAAAAAAGGAGTTTATATTATACGAAATAAAACGAAAAATAAGTGTTATGTAGGGCAGGCTAAAAGTATAGGCGTAAGACTAAACCAACACTTTCCAAATAGTAAGGTTATAAATACTAAAAATGCTGAATTTGCGAAGGATTGATATTCTGGTGATTATTTTTGTTATAAATATATTCTTTGTCAAACCAAGGATGAATTAGATAGTTTAGAAAAACAAAAGATTGAGGAATATAATGCCTTTGGTAAAGGTGGTTATAATAAAACTGGTGGAAATTTATAAAGTTTAAAATTAAAAGTACCTTTTAAGAAAATAAATTGAAAGAGTCCATTTTTCATTTTGATTAATTGAAAATTTCTCTACCCAAAAGCGGAAAGGAGAAATAATTGGTGTAAAATTATATATAATTACCTATTTTTTTTGCTTTGGTTTTTGTTGATTAATTTTTGTAAAGGTTTACCATGAACTTTAATTTTGCTAATTTCGGGCAGATTATCAGTAATGTCCTTAACTTTTCAAAAGATAGTTTGGATAGAGGTAGCGATTGTTCCTACTCACACGAAATCGGTTACTTTTCAACTTTCTCGCATACTATAAAAAAAGCAAAAAAGAATACTTAAACCAGGAATAATAAAAGTTGGTAAGTAAGCAAGAGTTTTTTTTTTAAGAGACTGGCGGGTTTTGCGAAAATTGGATTTAATCAGATTTTTAACTTCTTGGGAATTAGTTTGATTTGCTAAATAACTTTCCATTGCCATATTTTCTTGCCGGCGAAACTGATTTGTTTTTTGGCTGATTCGGCTTTGGATTTGGTAAGCCAAGGAACTTAAAAAAATAATAATGAGCGAGGAAAATATAATAAAATAGACCGCAAAATTATCGGGGCGAAATTTGCCTAAAAAAATGATAGTAAGGATAATATTAACCAGAGCGGAAAAAATTTTGTGGGGGACTAAAATAAAAAGGGGAGTAAATAATTCTACTTCGCCGAGAAAATTGTTTAAAATTTCCCTCTTTTCGAGGTGGTTAGGAGAAAGATTTCTTTCGCTCCCCTCAATTATTTTTCTTCGCAAGTAATTTCGACTTAATTCCAAAGCACAATTTTTTAAGTATTCACAAACTAAAATAGTTAGCAAATTACCAATAAAAAAACAAAAAAAAGCGTAAAAAAGCAAACTGTTACGTGATTTAATGGAGATAATTTTAAATAATGAATAGTGTGGGAAATCGATATCTTTATAACCTCAAAGTTTCAATCCGCCCGAAGTAGCCTGGTAATAAAAAAAAGAAGAAAGGAAAGTAAAAAAATATCAAAGGATTAATTTATTCCGGAGTTTTTTTAATAGTCAAACGTATAAAGAAAAAGTTTTTTTTGGCGGGGGATTATCCATAAAGATATTTTAAAAATAAAAAGTAAAAATTTTGTGAAAAAATTTTTTTATCGCATGCTAATTGAATATTAACTAAGTTAAATAATTTACTTAAAAAAACTGTAAAATATAAAAAGGAACAGTAATGAAAGTAAAAATAATAAAATCAACTCTACTTTTAAAAGAAAAGGAACAAGAAGCCCGAATCGCTAAACAAAAAGCGGGATTTTTTGCTCGCAAACGTGCTGAAATATGGAATATTGTCGGAGAGAAAGTGATAGAAAAATTAGGCAAAGAAGAAGTAAAGAATGACAGGAAGCCCAAAAATAATTAGAATTCCGGAAGAAATTAAAATTTTACAAAAAGAACGACGACAAAAATATAAAAAATATCACTAATCGAAAACAAAGTAAGTAATTGAATAATTTACCATTTTATAAACAAAAAAAGGAGATATTACAAAATAAATAACTTTTACTAACTAATTTAATTTTCAAAAATTAACATTAATTTTCTAATATTATGCTAAAAAAATAATAATATGTTTCAATGACTAAAAAATTTTCTAGAATGACCTCGCGAAGGAATCAAAAATATTAGTGGTTTAGGAAACTATATTAAAGATTATTGGTGAAAGTTACTTATTTTCATAATTGTGCTTATTGTGGTGGTTTGGGTAACCATAAAAATCTTAAAAATGATTATTTCTCTCATACGGGGAAAATAATTAGCGAAATCAAATTGTATCAAAAATAATTTTTACTAAAATAAAAAATTTTAAATGTCTGCTCATCAAAAATCTGGCAAAAAGTCAATTCTTCTTTTGCTTATTATTTTTTTTCACTTAATTCCCCTTTTTGTGTCTGCTTACTATGATATAGTTCTCCATCCGGGACATAAAGAGGTTATGAAGTTAACTGATATAAGATATTGATTATGATTTTTTACTTGGTGGTCGGCGTGGGCTTCCTTATTGGCTATCCCCTGAGCCATTTATAAACTGTTTAATTTAACTAAAAAAAAGAGTACTTATAACGAACAACTGATAGACTTAATGGTTACTGAAACTAACTTGATTAGCGGTTGGTTTTTTTGCCTAGGCGGATTTCTTTTGACTATTCCTGGTGCCAAGCACCCAACAATAAATTATCCCTTGCTAGGAGAAGTTAAAACCATTTATATTTGGCTCTTTTATAACCTTTTTTGACATATTTTAGCCCCTAACCTTGTATTGTACTATTTTTGAAAATATTGTCGAGTTAATAAATTGGAAAAAAAAAGAAAAACCAGCATGCTTGCTAATTTAATTAATCCTACCATTTACTTTTTCTATATTATTTTGCGACCATTAGTGGCTAACCTACCAAAATTAGGTGGGAGTAATTTACCGCACCGTTATCCCCGCGATTACCCTTATCCTTTCTTTTTTTGAGGCATGGGAAAACATTCCAGTAGTAAGGAAGCAAACTCATCCTCGTTTTTTTGGCGTAATTGGCCGACCCAACTGCAAATTTTTTTTTGGACGGCAACCATTGTTATTTTGGGCTATTTAGGCTTTTCGCTCTTGTTTTATTTTTTACTCTGAATTAAGAAAAAGGAAAAAAAGATAGAAAAAAAACCAAAATTATATTTTTAAACGGCGAAACTAAATTACGAAGAAAATAGTAAAATAGATTAAAAAGTGAATAAACTCGAATGTATAAAAAAAGCCGGTCAAGCCGTAAGCAAGATTTTGAAAAAACTCAAAAGAGAAATCAAAATTGGTAGTTCTGGAAAAGAATTGGATAAGTTGGCTCGGCAAATAATGGAAGAAGAAAAAGTTAAGTCGTCGAGTTTGGGTTATAATGGTTTTCCGGCGGCAATTTGCGTTTCTCTTAACCAAGAGTTAACTCATGGTATACCAGATGAAAGAATTTTCAAAAATGGCGATTTGGTTTCGATTGATGTGGCCTGTAACTATCAAGGTTATCATGCCGATGCCGCTTTAACTGCGATTGTAGGGGAGGGAGACGAAAAAAAACAGAATTTATTGAAAATCACCAAAGATAGTTTATATTACGTTATTCAAAAAATCAAGCCTAATATTACCACTACCCAAGATATTGGTGAAATGCTAGAAAAATACCTCAAAGTTCGCCAGGGCTATTATTCCTATTACCCAATTAAAGAATATGGAGGACACGGAATTGGGGAAAATCTGCACCAAACCCCCTTTGTTCCTAATTATAAAACGGTTGATAGAGTAGAAGTTATTAAGGAAGGAATGTTTATTTGTATTGAACCCTTGGTCCAACTTGGGGATGGTCAAATCACTGAATTAATGATTCCTCCGAGTAATTGAAAAGTAGTGGTTTCTAAAAACGGACATTTAAACGCTCATTTCGAACATACTGTATATATTAGTAAGAAAGAAAATAAAATAATAACTAACTATGACGACGACGAATAATTTTTTTCCAACCCGCGGTACAGTAATTGAATTACTAAGAAACAAAAAATTTTTGATTAAGTGCGATAACGGTAAGGTAATTACTGCTACGATTGCTACTCGTTTCCGGACTTCTAGCGGAAGAAGAAAGAGCAAAATAACCGAAGGCGACAAGGTGATAGTAGAGATACCTTTACGTGACCCAGAGAAAGGCGAAATTGTTGCTTTTGTGGCGGAAAAAGGGAGACAAAATTAAAAACTAAACCAGCGAATTATTTTGCTTGCTTGGTAAGCGGAGAAGGAATATCATGAATAATTTTTTCAAGTAATAGGTCAATATTTTTTCCACTTTTGGCCGAAATTAGGCAAATATCGCTTTCCGAACAGTTAAGCAGTTCGATAAGTTGGTTTTTGGTAGCCTCTAATTCGGCATGAGGCAAATCAATTTTGTTAATTACCGGCAAAACTTTTAAATTAAGTTTTTTAGCAATTTCATAATAAGCAAGGGTTTGGGCTTGAATCCCTTTGGTAGCATCCACTAGTAAAATTACTCCCTCGCACGCGGCCAAAGAACGGGAAACTTCATACATAAAATCGACATGACCGGGTGTGTCAATCAGATTAAAAATATAAGGTTCGGAACTTTCGGGCGGATAGTATAATTGAACGGCATTTAGTTTAATAGTGATTCCTTTTTCCTTTTCTAGGGAAAGGCTATCCAGCACTCTTTCTAATGATTGGTTGCTGTTTTTTAAATTAGTTTTTTCCAGCAGGCGGTCGGCCAAAGTGGATTTACCGTGGTCGACATGAGCGATAATTGAAAAATTTCGGATTTTGCTTGGGATAATTTTTTTAGCATGCTTGTCGGGAAAATCTTTCATATAGTTTTTTTAGGATAAGAAGAGTACCCGCATTATCATTTTTTTAATTAAAGTTAGCAATATTTTTTTTGGGAAGGAAAAGTTTTCGACAGTTAGGTATTACAATTTTAGAGTTTTTCATAAGTAATTACAAATTTCTAACCCTTTTTTCTAAGATTTTAGATAAAAACACCCCCCCCACTTCAAAATAAAATGATTATAAAATAATAATGATGAAAAAGAAAATAGCAAAAGATAAAAATAAGGGTTCTTATTTATCCCACTTTCTTTTGTTCGCGGTAGAAAGAAAGTAAAAAACGACTGTTTTTTTTTTTTTTTTGTTGAGTGAATGTTCCTCAACAATTTTTCTCCCAGAAAAAAAGAGAAAAAAAATATTCTAACTAGATTTCTTACCAATTGCCACTAATTAGAATACCAAAAAAAAGCAATTGGTTCAAACGGCTAGAACTGGTAAAATCTAGTCAAAGTAAAATATTTAGAAATATAAAATGCTATGAATATAAACTATAATAAATATAATTTAGACCCAAATATTATAAAATGCGGCGGGTGTTCAAAACCGTCAGAACCACGTTGAAGAGGAAATAGTCCAGTTTATTGCTATAAAGGTCGTAATAATGAGGAATTATGTTGTAAATGTGCCAAGAATATTTGTCAAAAATGTGGTCGGCAAGAAAAATTAATCAAATGAAGATGAGGTGAAAGAAATGAGTTAGGTATGCCCTTTTTCTATGAAGATGATGCGGATAATCCGAGCGGTGAATGAATTGTCTATCAGTGTAGCAAGTGTAATCCAGGTGAAATTGAAAGAGTGAAACGTAATAATCCAGATGCAGAAAAATGGGAAATTAAGGAAATAAAACCAAGTTCTCCGAGAAATGATAAGGAGGAACAGCGAGCAAATTGTTCTCATTGTGGAAAATTATTCGGAGGGGAAATTAAATATCGTTGTGATTCGTGTAGAACAGTTTATTGCAGTAAAAATTGTTGTGAGACTTCGGCTCCTCAATGTAAGTCTAGGTTAGACCAGCATAAAAATTCCGAGAAAACTCCTGATAAAGTAAATCCCTCAACACCGATAGAACAAAACAGCGATAAAAGTGATAGAAAAGAAAAGCCAGTAAAATTTGTAGTTAATTATGAGAATAAGAATGATAATACCAAAAAATTGCCTGATAAAACTGATAACCAAACCCTCGTAATTAGCCTTTCAGATATTAAGCAAATGACCCTCACTTCCGAAGGTAATTTAGTAATTGAGTTTAATCCTTCGCAATCTGAACCGCAGGCTAATTCAGTGCAAGTTATAACTGCCCAGCAAATTGCCAC